TATGACAAAAAATTTAGTTCTACAAAATACAACCTTATATTGTTAGTTTGTATTTTTCTCATAAACAGGCTCCATGTTTTGTCGGTGTCATATAGCTCTAATATAGAGCTCTATCATTGAATATTGCATACTGAAGTAGACATCCCATCTATACAGGGAGATTGGTACTCAGTGTGACAAAATATTTTTGGTGTAAGTACAAAGTAAATTAAGTGTGATGATGCATATCAACTGTTCCAAGTCTAAATATTAGCTTCCCAAAAAATTATAGACATAAAGCTCAATGGTGTAGCATATGGTCGGAAAGCTTATAAAATGCAGCAGTTTTTAACACTTTCTTGTATACAGGGTGTGAAAAATGCAATAGACCATTGATTTTTAAATTTTTATCAAACATCTTAATTTTTATCTTTGAATCTATTTACAATGGAGTTTTTACAACCATCATTTTCTATTATTCTTGTTCAAAATTCAATGTAGAACACAAAAAAGACATTATCTACTCAAATCCATTTACAGGTAATTGAGAAATCGCTGTATTAAGTAAATAAAGCATGGTTATTTTTGAAAAAAAGTATATTCGACTATAATCAGTAATTTACATCAGCGCAATCGCAATCTGTCGATCGCTCACATCAACTACAACAATTTTGATTATAAAACTGGCGACAACTTTAACATGGAGATGGAACATCTAGGTATTGTGTTTTGACTGCCACTCAAGAACTATTAAAATATATAATTATAAAGCCTATTACTTATCCACACAGGTGGACTATGGCTGCTCCGGTGGCCAATTTCTTGAGGTGTTCGCCCGATAATTGGTCAGCCCGCCCATCGCCAGGAGCGCTCACTGCCGCCCAGCCGCCCATCTACACGGGGCTTTCTACCACACACCGTCCATTAATTTGTCGACATGCGAATTTCAGGGAATAATTTTTGAAATAATAACAACTTTCTGATAATACCGTACATTTACGATCGAATGTTTCCATGTTCTCAGCCTTGTTAACAATTAGTGGCGTATCAGGTTCTTTAGGTTTCTGGAGCAGGTAATTTAAACATTATGGTCTATAAGTGGTGGGACAAGCTAATCTAATTTAGGTTATGTGTGTAGCCTGTACTTTTGAGAAACTTGTAACGTATGGCTTAACTGCATCAATCATTTTGGTGTTTCTGAACCAAAAGGTGGCCTGAATGTAGCGATTCTGCTTAGTGTTACTGAAATATACAAAGTACTAGGTTGGTAATTACTCTACTAAAATTAAGCTTTTCATCCAATGGTAAAACAGTTTCAGATGCTACAATGTAATGAAACGTCTTTTTTAGCAACTTCCAAATCAAATGTCTTAGGCAGGTTTGCTTGTGTATATTTCTGGTTCGGTTGGGTTGAGTGCGTTGATGATAAAGTATAAGGCATATTTGATAGTGCACTTTTCCCCTTTTAATATGCCACAGGTTAAGCAACAGCTGGCAAATGTCTCTTCTGTTGGGTTGTGGTATTATAGTTAAATGGAAATTAGGCAATGGAGTTCAATACCTCATGATCTGTATATTCCTACATCAATAGACAAGGAAATCAATTGTTCATACGCCTTAATTAATTGATGCAATAGTGGATTGATTATAGATGTTTCCGATAAGACTGGTTTGCCGATACGTATCGTTGTTTAATCTGCTTAAGCAAAAAAGACTATTGCATGATACATATGCATTTGGTTTACAAATGATTTAATATAGTCTGTATGGTGGAGCTTGGCTCCCTAACCTCTTTATAGAGGGTCAAGAGACCAGTTCCATCAAACAGAGTATAACTAAAAATATCAACATGTTGATTGGCATAGAGTGGAGCATTTTACAATAGCTTTGAGTTATAATATCTATTATGAGTTTCCACAGATGAAAAGGGTGATAAAAGTAACTATGTATAGTTAAAACTAAAGTTTTGTGTTTTGATATAATTCCACGACGACGAATATACAGGGTGATTCAAAAAGGACTTTACAACTTTGAAAATTCATATAAATCTTATTAAACAAGGTACAGAGCTGGTTTTGGTGTTGTTTTAAAGGAAAACACTTTGAGTTTTTTTAACATAAAATATCAAATTTTTACCTTAAAAGGAATTTTAGGTACGAAAAAATATCGAAAACCGTTAAATTTTTAAAAGAAATTTAACAAATTTTGGAATTTTGGAGAGGTTAAAATTTCCCCCCAGAAATCACGAATTTCCCCCCCCCCATATTATTCTTATGGGAAATAACATTGAAAAATATCGACTTTCATACGCTCATCTGAACCATTTAGAAACGTGCTAGAGACTTGGAATTTTGTAGTATTGCAGTATGGGATCTTAAATTAACGGTAGAATTTGCAAAAAGTCCCATTTTTAAATGGCGGACCTCTGAAAACGACAAATCACGTTTTTTTAAAACGGCTATAGCTCGAAAACGGTAAGAGCTAGAAACAATTTTAGGAAAAATCGTAGGTTCGGAATTAAATTTTCTACAAGACACTCTTAGGCGTTTATCGAAAATCGCACTCCTTCAGCTTCAAAAAATGCCACATTTTCAAAATTTGTTAAATTTCTTTCAAAATTTTAACGGTTTTCGTAATTTTGTCTTACTTAAAATTCCTTTTAAGGTAAAAATTTGATATTTTAAGGTAAAAAAAACTTGAAGTGTTTTTCTTTAAAACAACACCAAAACCAGCTCTGTACCTTGTTTAATAAGATTTATATGAATTTTCAAAGTTGTAAAGTCCTTTTTGAATCACCCTGTACAAGCGGAAACATATGAGGGGAATATGAGTGACAAGTAGGATAAGCGATAGCCTTGTTACTAAGATCAGCTGATCCTGTATCCAGGACCCTTCTTTAAAAGCCCAACCAATGACAGCTGGGTTCAGTTTCGAACCATCAAAAGCTACTGACTTTTTAGGATCGAACCCGCGACCTTCTGATTCGAACACTATATCCACTCCACTTTGCTGTGGAATGAAAACAATTTTATAGTCTCATTTACAACCCAAGAACTTTGAATATCAAAAATGTTTTGCAAACAATAGCCTTTAGGGTCAGATTGCGGTGGTCTCGCCCAGAAGATGGGCGTTGACGAAAGCGTCCACCTGTCTCAACAGCTTTCACTAGTTCCTCCGAAGAAGCATGGAATGCGCCCGACATTTCCTTCCGCAGCAGGTTCAATGTTATTCAATCAGTGTCACCGTCTTGATGACCTCACTGAGGTAAGTCCAGTTACCTCGAGGTTACCTTGTGTTAATAGGTGTGATCCCCGTCCCTGCTGATGACCGATGACAAAAACTAGTAGACTTTGTCGTCCTGCGTAACTCCTTGCATTGGTTTATTGTGGAAGAGTTTATTAATTTTACCGAGTGAGAAATGTCTTAAATATACCATAAGGCGTTTTAGTAAAGCCTAAATAGTACCGGCACGTTTATCCCATTATGGAAATTTGAAGGCCTGTTGTGAAATATATAAACTTGTTAACCACTTTGGCAAACTAATCTTAAGTTAATCAAGATTAAATATGGAAAATATAAAATATAAAATATAAAATAAAATCATCTACAAAACAAAGAAACATCACCATAGGGGTGAGTCAGTACAGTTTAAGGGTAGGTGGTACCCCCGTTCAGGTATTTACGCTATTTATTTTAATTACAACATTTACACTGTTAGAGTGTGTATGTTACCCTCCAGGACATTTATCATGTTTATAATGCTAAACAAGGTCCGTGTATCCATACTTTTTTCTCTAGCCGATGTCATGCCATGTGTTGGTTTACTCGTCCCATGATAATTACAACGAAAAATAATAGGTATGTAACCCTAACCTAACAAACCCTATAACTCCACGAATAAACAAGCTTGTCAACCAAACATGATTGAATTGTGTCAAGTGTCAGTCCAATATTCCTATTTTATTTTTATTGTAATTTGGGCTATTGTACAGCCGTTACAAATTATTTCAAACACAAATCGTAAGAAATCGAGTTTCTTTTCTTCGAATTCTTTTCAAAACAAAAACGACCACATCCAATCACATTGATTCTGATCACGATTACTTCGAACTTTAATTTACACCACTTTTAATTAAACACTATGCGGAATGTTATTACGGGTGTTACACATGGTATAAAAATCTTTAATTGTCGAAGAAAGACACGATAATAACTTACCTTTCCCCGACCAATTATCCGGGTAACGTATATTATCTACCAGACCACTTTCTCTAAATTATCTCAGATTATTCTTATTGACATGGGATGCCTTTTAAAACGCCAGTGAGGCGTATGTGTTCCAAATCAGTCAGGAGCAGAAATGTCTTATTACCTTATTCATCCATGGCCACCGATAACGACGGAATGAAATGAAAGTTGTTTGGGATTTTATTGGGATCTATGTAACAATACTGGTTTTGTCAATAGGAAGGAAGCCCAATTTACTTTTGGAATCACATATTTGTTTAATCTAGAGCGTAGACCACAAAATTAAGCGACACATTTTCAAGTAATGAGATTTTGAAATGCATAGTACAATGAAATGCATTAGGGCATAGTAGTCATGTCTCCATGAATTGAAAGATAGATAAAATATCTTAAAAGGTAAAAAGTAAATAGTATTTTGATCATCCACTTTAACACTCTGGAATGTCTTATAGCCTAAGAAACTCCATTTTTTTCAATAACAGTTTTGTTGTGTAATGATTTATTTAGTTTTTTTTTTTTAATTAGTATAGCCACTGAAGAATACAATCGACCTAGCCGAATATGAGACCACTCTTTTTGGACTCAATTTTCAATACAGATTCCAATTTTTAGTAATAACCGCTCAAAAGGTATCAATCGTAAGCAAGTGCATTTCAGCTTACGCACAAACTAAATCATGTGGACCGATCCTTCGACGTGTCAACACTGATACGGCATAAAACCTTTACAAACAAAACATTAAAGAAAATATAGAAGTAAAATCCAATACATACCTTGACATCCTTGATGTTGGGTATAATGTCGGTAGCGAAGGTATTGTTGGCGGGGAGGGGCTTGTTCTTGACGCTGGGGAAGATGACTCCTCTGTTCCTGCTGCTGCCTCGGCCCGGAGGAACCCCCTGGACCACTCCAGGAGCTGCTGTGATGACGGACGGTGTCGTCGTGGGGATGGTCTGTCCTTGGGTCGTCGGGGTCGTGAACGTCACCGGTGGAGGTGGTTCGGTCAAGGTGGGGTCGTTGGTGTCCTGGAACCTGTTCTGGTCAAACTCCACTATCCTGTCTATCGTCGGGTCGAGAAGGAGTTCCGCCGGCACCGGCCGCTGTGCTAACGTCACGACGTCGTTCTCTTGCTTCTTCAGTCTCTTCTCGACCATATCTAGGTTGGCAATGATCTTGTTCGTGTTTGTCCTCAAGTCGTCGTGGATATTGCTAATAGCTCTCTCTTGTCTTTGTGTTTGTGTGAGAAGCTCGTCGGACTTTGGCACTAGATCATCCACTGACGTTTTCGTGCCTACAACCACGTCCCACACCTCGTCCATCTTGTTTGACACTGACAGGATGGGATGCATCTGTCTCACCAGCTTGTCCAGTTTGCTGTTCTTGATGATCGTCGTGGTCGGGGTGGGAGGGGTTGTTGAAGTTCTGTTCCTGAAAGCCTGAGGAGGAGGTCCTGTTTGGATTACCACTGGTTCGACCACAGCTTCATGCACATCAGACATCATGCTTAAAATCTTCCCGAGGTTCTCGGACACCAGGTTGATGTGGAATTGCAGTTTCCTGTCCACATTCGAAGTGGAACTCCTCAAGGAGTCAAGTTCGGAACTGAGTACTTTCGTGATGTCCAACACGTTCATGCTTATAGGTTTCTTCTCACTGGCTTCCGCGTTTATATCGTCCGCTGGAAGAAAGTTGGAGTCTAGTTGGTTCTTCAAACCCACCAACTTACTGTCTATGTTACTGACCTTTTGGTCGAGCTGAACGAGTCTCTCACTCAAATTATTATCCACCTGACTTAACGTTCCTCCTTGAAACAGTTTGAGATCGAATGTTTGAAGTTTCTCGATGATGGAGTCTGTTTTGTCGATGTTGTCGTTGACTCTTGAGTCTAGAGCTTCCACCCGCCTCATTAGGTGTTCTACAGCTTTGTCCAAGTTCTCTATTCTCTGCAGCTTCGACTCCAGCGTCGAGACGATCACTTCGAACACGTTGAACAGGTATTGTTCCCTAAAACAAAAGAATTTTACATTAGAAACACAGCGACACAAACTCTATAGATAATTTGAAACCATTTAAACCACAGGTAGACCACTGGCATACATTAATGATGTTTGATGTCATTCTAAGCAGAAAAAACATATATGGGTGCAATTTTTCCTTCGTAAATCACAAGGGAATGACATTTATGACATAATTATTTGATCATGAGAATGAATCAAAATGGAAAGCAGCGGAACCTGGATATCCCGCGGGTACGATATTGGCCGTATTTCGTAGGTAATTTACGTAAATGAACTGTAGTCGGCGTTCCTGAGGCCTTGCCGCCGCCACCCCATCAATCTCTTCAGCCATCCGCCACCACATCCGCCGCTGCTACTCGGGACACGGAGGCAGCCGAATATACTAACTTTATATTTTTTAACATTTGCATTCATAATCTGTTTACTGGAGGCATTTATATGCTTTGGGGTTTGCAACGAAGAATCTTATTTACCTAACCCCTTAAACCTAAAAAATTACCTTATTTACCGGATTAACCTTTATTTATTTGTTTAAATGCTCTTTGAAATGTTGTGGAGTCTATAATTTACTAGGCCTATACTTTTACCTCTATGCAGTTTTATCCTCAACGCTTAAGACTGGACTGCTAAACATTTGAGTATACAAGCTTCAAATTCGTGATTCACTAATCACTATCTTATCACCTGAGAAATTTCCTAACTTTTTGATGGTTCATAACTGTACTAAGCCGTCCTCGATCGTGGGCTCTAGTCTGAAGAAAGCTCATAGTAACGAAACTGTGATCTCTCATTCACTCATCTCTGGGGAGCGAGCTATTCTACAGCCCAGGACTTTGGTCCAAAAGGTTTTGGGTTCAATCCCGCAAATCATCAATTGATTTCATCTAAGTAATAATGTTCCAGGCCTATTCTGAAGTAACGCGAAAAACAACCCCGGGCTAGAGCCTAGGCAAAGAAATCCTTCACTAATTTCCGCCTTACGCATCTGGTTCGCTGGCAACGTACTTATCTAATCTAGATAAGTGTATGTACCTTATGTGATAGCAATAGTATTTCAACTAGATTTAAACAGACACATGCGTTAATTATTACTAATAGTACATTCATTTCCACTTTTAAACTTTCTCGCTAGATTTCCCAATATTGGATTATGACACCACGCGTTGCGTACTCATAGAGCCATATTTAAAACTCCTTGCGTATTATCAATCTGGAGGAAGGCGATAGTTAAACATGCAGTAATATGAGAGTCCGGCGGCGGCGACCGGGAATTAGCCTCCCTTGCAAGACACACGTGCAATTAGTATATCATAGTTGGGACTAATTGCACAACAGGCTGCAATTGACGATTTAGCTGTGCGATAAAACACGGCTGAAGGCTGTGACTTGATTAGTACGGGATCGAATTCAATAAGAGTTTATCATGGCCCGCGCCGGTGATTACAGTGTGCAGCAAATGCAAAATGGTTCGAATTGGCACAAAGTTGCAGCTGTTGAGTGAATTTGTTTTAATTTAGTGGGTAAAATGGTTGTCAGATGTAGTGAGGACGTAAATGGTCATTGTAAGAACAGGAGTTTGGCGTCGACTATTGGCATGGATAACACTAGGCCTATGTTGGTTATAAAGACATCCCATTTACATGGACCAGCTGTCGTCAATATTTTTTGAAAAAGATCATAGTTATGTAAGCCAGCCACCGAATGCGCTAGAGCCTGTTGTTGACATAGCTGATGGGTCATAGTTTCTATAGCTCACAATAAGTCGTTCCATCATTTCTGAAGAGGATTTTGTGTTATGTAGAAAAGTGTATTGAATTACCAGAGTATGATTGTAAAATCAGCTGACGCACACAGAGAAAGCCTCAGTTTCAGTCTAAGCAAGAAGACCAGAGACGGTAAGACAATATGTGTAAGTATGTAAGCCCAATTGAGGAGCAAAACCTTCTGGCCGTGTGTCAAGCTAATCAATGATGATATAATGCACTATCTGAATAAGGTTCTTAAAAACCTAATTGTTGTCGACGATAAAAAGAATAAATTAGCTAATGTCAGGTTTAACTTCGTTGATTAACGGACATTTTCCGTTGTGATTAATAAATCACAGTTTTACGTAGTTTCGGGATCTGGAAACTAATATATCGAAACTATAACAAGATTAGTACACGCATCCAGCCAAAGCTGGGAAGTGATAAAAGAAAACCCACACAGAGATATAGTGTGGTACTAACTATTTAGTAGTAAAAACAAGAAAAAATGATTTGAACAATAATAAGTAGAAATAAATGGCAAGTGAAAAAAGTTAAGAGGTCTGCACCAGATGATGGCATAAGCGAGATTCCACTTGGGATAATAAACTAAATGGTCTTGTTAACTTAATTTACAAAACATGATTAACGTAAGTAAATCATCTTTTCGCAACTTAAAATTATAATTACCTGTTTAAATTCCTGAGAGGGCAGAATCAAGATAATAAGAAACAGCAAATGTGTGGTCCAACCGCTAGGGGCGAATTTAAATCATTTGCTGTCAATTGTAATTAATTAAATTCGAATGCGAACTCGATTTCACCGGAGAGAAAATGAAAAGTTCATCTCGGCCTGTTCACAGATACATTGTGAGATCTAGCTACAGTTAGCGGTGAAGGGCGATGGGGGCGGAGGACCACCGTGGTGCCGCCTCCAAGGTGCCACCCCCAGGCCTACACTATCGCAACAAGCGGCTAAACCGACAGTGGTCACTCCTATTAGACCGTATCTGCGACCAACGTCTAACTTACAGACCTCGTAATTCTCTGGTTCAACCCATACATGTGAGGAACTTTCTGTTGAGCTTTGAATGGAAATCGGTTAGATCTGATATGGGTGTAGTGATCGACTCAGTTACGTGTATGGTACGAAAGTACAATTGCTGCAGTACAGTCGGGTACAGTTTTGGGTTGGTGAGATTTGACTCTCAATATAGTTCAGTTGAGTCCGCAAAATGCATTTTAAAAACTGTCAGCTATTTCAGATCGCTTTTTGAGGTTTTAAGTATCTATTTTCAAAGAGCTTTTCATGATTATCATCGAATTCATATAAATAATTTACGATATTTACGTATAATTCCAACATTTTGTTGTATAGTGTACTGCTTTAGACATTGTCCAATTGGAATCTCCACACTATCTTCTTCTACAGGCCTAATCAACGAACGATACACTTATCGATTTTCAACCCTAATCAATAGCGCAGAGTTTTTCGTTGAACGAGGTACCGTAAGTAAATATGTTGCACGCTTTTAGAATTGTATAGGATAGAACTACTTTACGGAGAGAATAGTTATTTGTGTAACTAGTGTGCAAGTGGCACTTTGCTGCACATGAGAGAAATTTTTATGTTTACCCACGAGTTGTGGGTGAGTTTGGAAAGTTTCTCGAGTGCAGTAAAGGCACTTTGCACTCGCGTTACACATTATATTTTTCAAACAGTTACTATAAAGCATATAAATAGTGAGTATTTCAAACACTATACAACACGTTTTTAGGTAAGGTCAAAACCAAGCATTGAACGAAATGGGAAATGCTGCACCAGCTGATCGTAGTCGTAGTATCTTTAACTGTTGCCAACTTATTTTCAAGCGTACACGGATTAGGTGCCTAATAAAAGCACGCATTTTTGTGTTGTTTGGTTAAAATACTTGAGTGCGGCAAAATAAAGAGTTCGGCAAAAGTAAAAGAGTGTGGCAAAAGTAAGTAAATGCAGCAATTAGCAGCATTCTGTACTATAATCAGTGCAAGGAAGCCCACTTAGGGTAAAAACATAGTGGAGCGGCGAGGCTAGACGGTAGCGGAGAGCGTAGCCGAGCGGGTTTAAAAGAATACACGTAGTTGGACGCGCTAAAGCATAGTGGAGCGGGGAGCGGCGCTGGTTCCCGCGTCAACACGCTAGCCTCTCTGCTCGTGAATTCACCCCCGATTTCTTTACCTCGAGGGTTCAGTCGAGCAGCGCTGGTTGTACGAGATGGACGTCGAAAGTTTTATTTTGTCTATTCGTGAACGTCGTCCTGTTTGGGACCAGCAAATACCTGAGCACCATAATCGTTATGTTCTCGACCGACTATGGAAGGAAATAAGCAAGGAGAACAGCTGTTCAGGTAAGATAAAGTTTTATTTATTAGCATACACTAAACAGCACACCAAAAACAAAAAAATTTACATCACTGCTTGTCGTCTTTCTTCAATTTAATAGGATTTTCCTGAAAATATGCCTTAAATGTATCACGTAGAAGCATTGCTGCGGATGGCGGTCGGCCTCTTTGTCTTCGTCGTCGTGCCGGTTGGGGATCTACATGAGCCTTGTCACCGGGTAATACCTCGGTCAAATGCCTTTCAAATCCTTCTTTCTCAATGATTGTATTTTGAAGGACACATACAGCCTTAATTATGTGATCAGCAGTCTCGTGTTTCGTTTCAATACTCTTTGATAGTATTCTCCATTTAGAATACAAAATTCCAAATGAGCACTCGATAGTTTTTCTTGCCCTTGAGTGCCTAAAATTGTATGCAATTTTGTCCATTGTTAAATTTTCAGCTGGGTAGGGTATTAATAAATTACCTGATAGAGGATAAGCCTCGTCACCAAGAAAAACCATAGGCGCTTTAACTTGTGTTCCTGGTAAGTAACTATCATCTGGAATATTTAACTGGTTACTTTTCATCTGTAAGTACATATCTGAAGCTGCAAATGTAGCTCCATCGTTCTGCTTTCCAAATCCTCCAACATCGGTCATAGCAAATCTATATTGAGCGTCACAGACACCTTGTAAGGTTATTGAATAAAACTTTTTATAGTTGTAAAACATCGTTCCAGAGTGTGGAGGGCAAATGATTCTAACATGTTTTACATCTATGCATCCAATACAATTTGGGAAATTCCAAAGTTCGAAGTACTCACGGCTAGTACGAAGGAACGTGTCTGTCGTAGGTACAGGCATGTGGATTGGCTGCAA